AGTGATAAATGAGACTCGCTCCCACCGACCACATCACGTACTTGGGGCATGGAACCCAGTGCTCCCACCCCAGCTGTACAGCTCAGACCTGCCTACATATCAAAGAACTGTTAAGGCTGGAAAAGACTCCTAAGACCACCCAGTCCAATTGTCCACCTAGTACCAATATTGCCCACTAAACCACAGCTAGCAACACTATGTAAGCAGAGATGGCAAAGAAAGCCAGAGAGCTGAATGGCTTTGCAGGTCATGGACACACACTTCTGAAAGGGCAGCTCCCGTGCAAAGGATGAGAGCTGCCACCTCGTGCTTCCATCCCATCTGCTAAAAGACAAATTCCTCAGGTCATTTTCAAAATGCATTTCTGGCTGTTCTAAAGCATCCTTGCTCCAAAACCAAATCCTGAAGCAAACCCACTCCCCCTTCCCTCCCACCCCTCCCCCCCCCCCCCCCCCCCCCAAAAAAAATCAAGAACGGGAAGATCAATTTTCAAGATTTAAGATTTTTAGAATCACTTTTTCCCCTCAATTCAGCCAACTGAGAGCACAGCTTAACGCCAGCGATGACACCTGTCAGGTGCACGTGCCATTCATGCACAGAGAGAAGCAGAGCATCCTGGAGAGCCGTGCCACGCATGTTTCGCTTCGTACAGAAAATCTGCAGTGCTAAAAACTTACTCTTTCTAACTGGGTGGCATTTTACATTTCCAAATGTAATTGAGTGAGCACGTCGCCATGGTGACGGTAGGATTCTGCAATAACTTTGGTGCCTTGTAATTGCGGTATATTTGTATACAAGCAGCTGAGCTTTCTTAATTCAATGCCCTCTTAACTCTTTCTGAGAGCCTGCAGAGCGACAAAGGCAGCCTTTGGGCTGGGAACTCCAAGAGGAAGGGCTGGAAACATCAGAGCAATCAGAACAGAGGGAGGAAAAAAAGGAGAAAAAAAAGCAGCCCTGCCAAGAAGCAGATTATTATATAAACTTCAGAGCTCCTTAGCTTTTAGAAACGTCGCTGTTATCAAAGCCTAATTCGGATAATTAACTTCAGGTAGCTTTTTGGCAGGCAACGCGGCCCCAGCTGGAAGCAGCCCCTGACAGCAGCACATCGCAGTGCTGTCAGCATGGCACGGAGCTGAGGACAAGCACGGGGCACCCATCCGACCCAGCACTCCCACACCTCGCATCAAGGGAGCATTTTTGGGGACGGAGAGCAACGAGCCGCGCTAGGAAATGGGCGTTTAAAGCAACGAGCCGGGTTGGTGCCAACCTTCGGAGGCGAGTAAGCAACAAAACCTTCCCCTATCATGCCCCAAACAATTACGCAAGTGCTTTGAATAAAAGGCCGGTTCAGCTCCCTCCGTAACGCCAAATACAGCCCTACCATAACGGCAAATAATCGCTCCGCAAACACATTCCCCTGCTAAGAGGCCACGCTGCGCTCGCCACGCCGCTCGGATAGCGCTGAGCATCGTTCTGACAAATTCCTGCAGCAAAACCCGCACCGGCGCTCGGCAGCACCTCCCTTACGCAGCGCCACGCGCGTTACAAGCCCTTTCTTTTTTTCCTTTCTGTTTTTTAAGTTAGGAATCCAACGTCGCAGCACAAACCTTATCCCCCCAACCTAGAAAAACAGCATTTTAGGGGACTTCCACCAAACCCGGGGCGGCGGGGCCGTGCGGGGCCGAGGAGGTGCATACTGACGCCTCCTCGATCCCGCATGGCCCCGCCGCCCCCGGCCCATTCCGCCCCCGGCCCCGCCGCTCACCGCTGCCCGCATCGCTCCGCGCCGAGCCCCGCGCGGCTCCGAGGCGGCGCCGCTGCTGCCGGGGGTGGGAGGAGCCGCGGCCGCCCGCGAGGGGGCGTGACCATCCGGATGCTCCGCCCCCTTGCCTCATTCACAAAAAAACGCCAGCGCCGCCGCCCGAAGGAGGGCGAGCCGAAGCCACGCCCCCACCGGGCTCGGCGTCCAATCGCATGGCACAGCGGCTCAAATCCACCCGCCAATACCACGAGGGCAAACGCGATTGGTGCGGGGAGCTGCCCGTCACCTCCCCCCTGCGGAACCCTCCGCGCCGCACGGCCGGAGCCCGGAGGAAAACAGCCGCGCGCCGTCGAAGCCTTAGGGAACCACGGCGAGGCCCGGGCCGGGATTAAAAGCCGGCGGACAGAAACTCGCGCAGCCTTAAGACCCCGTGCGGCGGGCAGCAGGGCCCCGGCGTGGTCCGGCCCGGCGAGAGGCGCCGCGTACTGACCTGGGTGACGGCGGGAGGAGCGTGGAGCCTTGCGGCGAAGGCCCGGCGGCGGACACGGGCGGCGCGCGCGCCACCAACGGACTCAGCCCGTGACGGGATCCGCCATCTTGGAATTTTTAGATGGAGAGTCACGTGGTGCGACCATTTTTCCTGCCGGCCAATCAGGAAGCGCGGTTTATTTATAGCCGCGGCTCCCTCTTTTTTCTTTCCCCCCTCCCGCTCTCCCCCCGCTCCGCCTCATCCCGGCTGGGCGCGCGGCGGGGGAAGGGAACCAATCGGACCCCGCCTCGGCTCTTAGCCCCGCCTCCCCGCACGTCGCCTAGGTGACGGCGCGGCGCGCGGACGGGCTGCGGCCGTTGGGCGCCGTCCGTTGGGTTGCCCCGTCCCGCAGCCGAGCTGCGCCGCTTTAAACAGCGCCTGAATCACCGTGTGAGAAGCGGAAGGGGCAGAGGCACGGGCCGGCTGGGACCTGAAGGGAGTTGCTAACGACTTTGTCCCTCCTTCATAATTTACAGCTGTATTCTAGCATGCAATCACAACTCTTTTTTCTCCTTTTTTTTTTTTTTTTTTTTTTTTTGAGATGCTTAACAATTACAGAGCCATATGAAAATCCTATTCATTTGACATTTGACCCCTGTGGTTGCTTCTCTTTCCATGCCACGAATAACATGCCTGCTTCTTGGCGGAGGTCAGAATCGGTCTGATGGTTCCATCAGCAGAATCATCCTGTTGAGTTCAGCTTTCCTGTCTTACTTTATTTTTAAGAGATTAATTTGTGAGCAGCAGTTTGGAACAAACATTACATCTTCCAGCACCTAAAGGGAGCCAGCAGACAAGAGGGGAGTCAACTCTGTGCAAGGGTTGATAACGGCAGGACAAAAGGAAGCGGTTTTGAGTTGAGGGAGAGAAGATTGAGGTTGGATGTCAGGGGGAAGTTCTTTGCTATGAGAGTGGTGAGGTGCTGCAACAGCTGCCCAGAGAGGCTGTGGATGCCCCGTCCATTATGGAGGTGTTCAAGGCCAGGTTGGATGGGGCCCTGGGCAGCCTGGGCTGCTATGAGATGTGGAGGTTGGTGGCCCTGCATGTGACAGGGGGTTGGAGATTCATGATCCCTTCCAACCCAAGCCATCCTGCGATTCTACAATTTTGATTATTCTAAGCTTGAGCCTACAGGCAGCACAGCCTGCCTTGTAGAGGACCTGAAGTTTGGGGATATTCTCACTTCAGTACGTGTCTGAGGATACACTGGCGTGCACCACTTCTGCATAAAGCTGAAGCCCGTTTTTGTCTCATTTTTACCATATACTGGCTTGTGGGCTTGTTTGTTTGTTGTTCTTTGGTCGGTGAGGTTTTAGGTTTCCTTCTACGGTCGTTCTGCTATCTTTATTCAGGGCCAGTTTGTGTGCTCACGTGCATGTATGTCTACATATATAAATAAGCTTCTAAATTATTTTAAAGTGTCCAGAGACATGTGGGTGTAAGTGCTTTAGGTCTAGAGCTTCACGAGTGCAGACTGTGCAGCCAAAAACAAGGCAACATTCACATATGCCAGAAGCTGCTCAGTGGATCTAACGAGCGGTGGCCATGGCAGGACATGTAAGCATGTAAGGACAGCTGCGTGGCTGCCTGCCCTCTCCTAAGGCTCCCCATTTCTTGTGCTGCTGTGAAGTGCTTTGCTCACCAACACGCTTACAGCCATCACTTTGCCTAAGTGGTCCCTGCAGCATCCGCACCCCCCACATGTTCCCTGGATGCTCTCCTGCAGCTCCAAGCTGCAGAGCCTCTGCAGGTTGGGTCTGTCACCTCCAATGCCTTCTGCATGGCTGAAGGTGTTTTGAAAAGATGAAAGAAGGGAAAGAAAATTGCACCCTTAAAGTTGCCATGGAGTGTTTTATCTTCCAAATTTGATTGATGCTTTACTTGTGGTCGTGGGTGTGAATATGTGTGTCTATTAATATCCAGTCTGGGCTAACCTGTGCATAATGACAGAAAATTAAACCCTGCCATTGTTCCTATAAACTAGAATTCAGACATGAGCAAAAAAAGTGTTCTTCCTATATATTAAACCTGACTGTATATAGTATGGTCTGTTTTTACTGTAATTGCAGCTGAAAAGTTTACTTAAAAGCCATTTGAATTAAAATAAAAAATTGGGGAAAAAGAAAATTGGCAGAGCTAATTCATAAAGACTGAAATAAAATGCAATTACGGAGCTTCCCGCCTACCTCCACCTCATCTCTACCTGAACTCTACTTCTTGTTTGTCAAAAAGGTTCCATTTTTTGATGTGCTTAAGCAGGTAACATCCATCACAATGCTGCAGCTCGTTTCCTTCCCCAGTCACAGCAATCTGGAGGAAGTAAAAGAGGGTCTCTCAGCTTTGCATCCCAATGCTGCCCCTTCCACCACCTCCTCAGCCAGAAAGAGAACATCGAGTTAGGGAGAAAGCCAGCAGGAGCTTCCTCTGGAGCCTTGCCACTGAAGAGCAACACCTACTCCAAGTGCCAGTGCTGCAGTCAAGCCCAGACACAAGCACCCATGTGTGGATTGCTTTCTCTCCTTCCTCCTGATCAGTTAGTTGCCATCATCTCTCTCCCTTGATATTTTTCTCCTGCCAGTCACCCTTCTTTGCCTTATCTCCCACTCCCATCTGTGTCCTCTCTACATCGTATTCATTTCATCCTTTCTGCCATCAGGAAAAAAAGAAAAGAAAAAAGGAAAAACAGCAACTACCAGATTTAGAACACAGCTGTAATTAAACAGACAATGTTAGATTTACATTGCCCCCTCCTGTGTTTTCCTTCAGGTATACCTTTTCTATTCTTGTCTCGGTGAATTCTGATTCAGCTGGGATGCCTTCCATCTTTGCACAGGACCACAGGCAGCAGAGATCCTTCTCTCTTGTGGTGTTTTTTTTTCAATACGCTCTGAAATCTGTCTTCTGTGCAGAGCAGTCTTGTCTGGCTTAATGTGAGCTATAAAGGAGAACAAGGTGGTTCTCGTTCACTAAAGAGTGCCTGCTGAGGCTGAAGAAGCCTGTATTTGGCTGCAGAAGTTATTTTTCCAGCTTGTCTGCAGACCTAGCACTTCATCAAGTCTTCATCACTCAAGGACTAAAAAGCTTAAATTCTGCAGCACCAAGGCCAGTCTCAAAGAAAAAAGTTACTGCTGTTGTCTTGGACAAAATCAAATCCCCGTCCCACGTTTCAAGAAAATAAGTTCAAAATAAAGGTCACAATGCAAAATTTGTTCTTCAGGTTCATGCTTCTCAGAAAATCTTCAGGCATACGTACTCCACCTCAAATTATGCTCTTTATTTCAGCAATGCCAAACACAGAACACACAACGCTGTGTTGCTGAAAGGAACAATGAGTGATAGGAGATTAGGCAGCCACACAGCGGGCAGGGCTCGCTTCCTATGCTGCAGGTTTGGCGAGGGAAAACACACCTGGAAATAGCTGTGCTGCAGCAGCGTGCGGCCTGGGGAGCAGAGGCAGCCGCGACAAGGAAGAGCCATGGTGCTGCTGTTGGGAAAGAAAAGACTGGGTAAAGAAGACGTACAGAAAAAGCTTTGCAACAAAGGTTAACGAAGATAATGTTGGATATTTATAGCAGTCATTTTATCCTCAGCTTGATACACTTTGCAAATGTTTCCTTGCCAAAATTTGCTCCGAGTGTTTTTTGCTGAATTTTATAAATTCCGTATTTGTTTAGCAATAACATTGATTCTCTGAGCTTGTTGTAGGAGATGGAGAAGGAATGTGGTGCAGCCACTACAAACTGCTGTCCCTAAGATCTTACCTTAAGATGTTATCCCTCCCGATCAGCCTGATGAGCTACGAGACAGAGCAAATCTCCTTCTTCAACTGCCGTCAGTTGTCAATGTTAGTAGCATACTGAGGCTTGAATTTAGAAATACACAAGAAATAAGTCTGTACTTAAGATGAGATCTTTGTGAAATTGAGGCTAGGATAATTGTTGGATCATTTAGCTTATCAGTGACTTTTTTTTTCTGATTCTTTCTATATATGTTATTGAATTCCTTGAATTTTCATCCTTGGCAGCTGCTGAGAGGGAAAAAAAAAACACGTGTGTGTGTGCATGTGTGTGTTTCTCTACAGTGGGAGCCTTAGAGAAAATATTGATTCATTTTTCTGTCTCTTTCAACCAGAAGAAAAAAAAAAGAAGAAAAAAAAGCATCCTGCATGATACAGGATTAAAAAAAACCCCAAACAATTAAAGTAGAAATAACTGTGAGGAACAAAAAAAGAAAAAGAGAAAGAAAACCCACCAAAAGCAACAAGTTACTTTTTCAATAAAAATATATGTGCAGCCTGGCCCCTGGGTGTTGGTTTTAAGTGAAGATATTGACGTGCAGCTGAATGACAAGTAGAATACTTCTCTACTGAAATATTGATAGTAGATTACACTAAACCACAAACTATCTCCATAAAGCCCATCATTTCTTATCCTAATGGTGTTTTCTTTCCCTTGGATGACTACTACATTCACGATACAATGTCTTTATTCTATCTGCGGGAAAAACTTTTTACCATACAGCTAAATTAACTTGTCAAAAGGCTTCAAACTTCGGAAGCTTTTACAGCTCAATTCAAAGCTATTATTCAAGATTGAATGAGAAGGCTGTGGACTGTAAAAGCTGGCAAAAAAATGAATTTCACAAGCATTCACGAGTTGAATGGAATACTTACTTTTTGTTCAGGTTGTGCGTGTTTCATTGAGCTGTCTGGGAATGGCTGTGTTTTGCCCATAAGCCCCTTGCTTTGCAGAGAAGGAATGCTTCTTACTGCTGCCCTCGGAGCTGTGACCCAGTGCTTGCTCTTTCACACACACTTGATTGTATTTCCTTTGGCCCAACCAAAGTAAGTGCCAACCAGCTCTCCAAAAGAGAACAGATAGCTGCTGAACTGAGGCAGAGCAGAGCAGGAAACAAACCTATGTCTACACTTTTTTTTTTTTAAGTGAGATCCTAGGCTCGCATCATCTCACAGTCAGTCACAGCTTTCTCGTGCAAATACGAATGCCTGGTTTCAGGAGCAGCAATTGCCTTTGAGGAGAAGCAACTTTCATATTTCACAGGTAAGTAGCAGCTGGCAGAGCTTGCACTCACAGACTCCTTTTGCAGATGCGCTGCTATTCAGTCTCTTTGAGACAAACACAAGAAGGCAAGGTGGAGCTTACAGAACCAGAGATCTCGGACCCAGGATGCCTGTGGCAGAGGTTGCACAGAATGACATTTCTGACCTGTGAGTCCAGTATCTTGTGGCTAAAGCCTACAGATCGCTGCAGTTCGCTTGGAGTCCACGACTCACCTTCCCTCAGTCAGAATCTCAATCAGAGTCACTTTCCTTCTTTTTATTCCTTCTCTCTTTATTTATTTTTTTTTTAAATCATTATTTTATTCTTCCTTAGCATGCCTACTGTTCAGACCATTTTCAAGAGTTCATAGCACTTACCCATGAACTGAAGGGTCCAGGGTCACTTCTCTCTTCTGCCTGGCAGAATCCTTAAATGCAGCTTCCATCTCTCCAAATGCTGGTGGTCACAGCAGCACAGGATAGCATCCCCTTGCTGCAAAGACAGGCCACTGGACAGAAGCACGATGCACAAGATGATAGAACAGGTGAGAAGTTACATCCCTTAGCTGACAGGCTGTGGAGGAGGGTTGAAAAATACTTATTTTCTGGGACATCATCTGAGTGTAGACCGGTGTTGACAGGACCAGCAGCACAGCACCAAGATATCTCAGGGCTTTGCACTTCAGAAGCTGAGCTCTGGGGAGTACTTCATAGCTGCCTCCAAAATAGGATAGCAATGTAGAGTAGTCTGGGGAAGAGCATCTTTGATCTTAAGTTATTAATTGCAAGCTAATGAAACTACTGGATCTGGCCCTTTACTCATTAGTGCCTTAGTCTTACATCTGTAAAACAGGAATATTACTGTTTCCCTACCTAAGAATAAGATGAGGATAAAAGGCTAAAAGGACTTCTTATGACTTCTTATCGATTACTGGGAGACCTGAAGATACAAATGAGGCAGTATAGCACCAAAAAAAAAACCACAACAGAATCCATCACCAGGCACTTTTGTCATTGCATAGAAGAATGAAACACTCAAGCACTGGCAAACTAACAAAGTTCCTGACAATTTCTTCCTACTGCAGCTTTATTCCATTAAAAACAGCCATTCAGAGCATATCATGATCGTGCAAGATTGCTGATCACAGACTCTATGCATGGACATCGTTAGTTTTGTCCACTGCTGGGAGATTGCCACGGGCATCGGTGCTGATAAGCACGCTGGAATCAAAGCCCCATAGGCCATGAGGTTTATTCACATGGAAGACAAGAGCACACAGACACAAATTAGATCAGCACAGACCAAAGTAAATCATCTTCTGTTGGACACAGTACTTTTTGAGCATGGTCCAAAAGAAGAGATAGATCTTGCTTTAAAAAGTTGAGAGTGAAAGGGGAACTGGTAGATGAAGTATGTGGGCAAAACTGCATGCACCTTTCAGATTCCTAATTTCTCCTCCCTCTGTTTAGATTATCTAAATATTGTCCTATTCCTATTGCACACAGGTCAAAGTTTTAGGTTTTTTTTTTTAATTTAGAGTAATTTTTTATTTTATTTATGTTATTTCCTGAATATATTTATCTACTAAAAGGTTTGGGCAGCTGTGTTTTGTTCCTGGCGAAACCTCACCTCGCTTTTCCTTTCCTATGGCAAAACTAAAACCACAGCTAGTTTTGGATTTGAACTCGCTAGGAAACACAGGAAGACACCAGATTTTCTCTGTCTACTTATAGGAGAGCAATCATAATGGCATAGAACCATTGCAGATAGAACCTTCCTTGTGCATTCAGAAAAGATGGGACAAGAGGAAGGTCAAAAAAAGAAGGTATATATAAACCGAAGAATGAGCTGGGTGCACTCAGGAAGCCAAGTAGAGCATTAGAAAACAATATAGCAAGGACAAAGGTTCATTCTTGCTGAATATAAGTGGACTGGTGTTCACACAAATCATCCATTTTTGAAAGTTACAGCACTGAGCTCACGTCAGGAGGCAGTCGGTGGGTGTACAAGTCTCATGCTGAACCAAAACATCCGTGGGTCATTCCTATAGCACTGGTTCAGCTCCTTTATGCAGAGACACCGAAGCATCTACATAGGGCAAAAGCTCAGGTCCTTTTCTCCTTCTTATCACCATTTTCTCACTGCATTTGTATTTTATCTTTTCAGCCTTGCTAGTTGTATCTTACAGCCTTGCTAGTTGCAAGCACTTTATCTGACTTCTTAAAGAGCGTCACAGCAGATGATGATGTATCAACACAAGTACAGGTGTCCAGAACAGCAATAGTGAAATGGAACTGTGGAAAATAGTATCACGAAACAAACATCTCCAAAGGCTGAAGAGTTATATCCTGCTTGGCTTTATTGGATAATTGGCTGTGAATTCTGAATCTTGGCCTCTCATTTGAAGATATGCTGTTCAATGGACAACTAAGACATAAATAATCAGCCATTAATGTTAAAAATATAATTCAGAATCTGCTACGACAACCTCAGATGAATCAAAACCTCTCCAGCCCTAGAAATATCTGCATATGCTCATAAAATATGGGCACAGAAGAAAGATACTTCACTTTTCCAGGATCAGTAGGAAAGATCAGTCTTGTAAAAGGCCAGGATGTCTCTTCCAGGAAAAAGGGGGGAAAAAAAGTCAAATTTGACATTTTGTAAAAGAGGATGAAGGAAACCCCATCATTTCAAGGACTAGATTCAAGGAAAGGGCTGAGTGGGACAGAGAAGAGACTAACCCAGAAAGGACAGAAAGAGATGGAGACTAAAACTGACAAGCTGTTTCAAAAATCTGCAAGGCAACGGAGTCCAACCCAGAAAAGGAACGTAATTGAGATATAGATCAATAATATCTACATTGCATAATAAGCACCACATATTTTTTTCCTTTAAGAAAAGGAAGAGTTTACAGCAGGTACCTCTTGAGAGGATGTTGCAATGGAATGCATCTGTGCCTTTCCAGCAGTTTTGGTTTAGGCTGTTCACACTGAGATACGCTGGCATCAAAGAGACGAGACTCACAGATCTTGATTCATCCTTATCAGGAGCTTCCTAGTAGGTTGCTTGATGCATATTAAAGGACCAGTTATGAACGCCCGTGGAAGCTTTCCAAACATCACACGTTAGCAGGCTGATATGGATAATTTCTAGGAAAGCTGCTGGTGTGGCTTGGAAATGAGAGTAGGATTAATTAAATAAGGCCTTCTACCTTGCACTGAATGAGGGGCAGGAATGTTCTGGCTGCTATATAAAGACTGCAATGCAAAACGTTGAGATCATTTGATAGGAAGTGTAATGGCCCGAAACTGGGCTGTGCTTCTCTATGAGCAAGGAGGAGAGAGCGTGAACGTACAGCACTTTGGTTAGATTTGGTTTGATTTTTTTGTCTGATAAGAGAACACTTCAGATAGCTCACTAGTAACAGGTTTGTGATTTTGGATGAGGTGCACGGGTGTGAAAGCGTTAGTGGGGGCTGGCAGGGGAAGAGGCTATCAAGTGTTTCAGCCTTGCTGCTAGCACCCTTGCAGTCAGCCAAGAGTAAAGTGGCTATCTTTGTCATGATGGAAGCAAAATAAGGGCTATCGAAGTCAGAAAAGCAAAGGAATTGCAATGACCAGGCTAGAGGAAGGAGCTGTGTCCCGCACAGGTGCATGGATGTATTTTGGAGGTGGCTGTGCCACTGCAGACCTCTGCTCTTCCCAAGGACACCTTGACACGAGGCAGAGGAAGGTGGATTCTTACATCATTGCAAAAGAAGGTCTCAGAAGATCTCTATTTAAAGGCAAGTTCTGAGGAACATTACTCTGATTTGGGCACCTCTGTCACTGGCAGCTTGGCTCAGCAAGGGCCTGACTGACTACCAAACAGCCTTTGAAGCCACAGTCCAAAACTCCAACCTTAGAGTTATTTTTAAAGGAGTGCTTTTGCTTTTCTGGGTTTGAGCCCAAAATCTCACTTGGAGTCACTCGCATTCATGTCAGCAGAACAACATAGCCAAACATAAAGTTTTTTCTTTTTCTTTTTTTTCTTAATTAAACTGCTCTTCTCTCAAGTCAAATGGAGCTTTATCCTCCCTCCAAACTAAGAATGGGCACATCTGAGCGTTGCCAGTGAAATTTGAAGTCCACTAGAAATAGCTTAGCAGAAACTATTGTGTTTTACAGAACATTTTCCTTACCAAGGCAATTGAAATAGGGCAGGTTTCCAGAATACCGGCTGCAAGAGACATCTCTCATCTCTCCACCTGCATTTAGAATCTTAGAATTGCTCAAGTGGGAAAAGACCTCCAAGATCATCAAGCCCAACTGCAGCCTCACCATACTACCCTAACTCTAACAACCCACCATTTAGAAGAAATGCATCTTTATTTTCCTACGTACCAGAAATACACCCATTTACCACAACTGCTTGCTTCGTTCCCAGGACCACAGCAAGCTTTCCTGTCGTGTTTCCAGCTGAGAAGCTTGGCTGACAGCTCTGCAGACAGCAGCGTTCCAGTGTCATTCATGGACCAGCACCAGAAGAGCACTGCTTACACCCAGCCCATAACAGCACTATCTGCCACTACCTCACGTGGGAGCTGGGCGCTTTACAGCATGTGTGCTGCAGTACCTCTGGAGAATGGCAAAAGCCAGAGATGAAAAAACAGAGTGGAAGCTCACATCTACTGCTCATTAGGTGACTTGAAGTGATACTGGTGGGTTTTGTGCATGTGTCTACACATGTTTTCTTCTCCAACCTTAGCAGGGAATATTTTATTTGCTTACTGAAGTTTTCACATGCTATATGTTGTTGCTGTTTTGTTTTGTTCTTAAATCCCTCACCTATATATTTATTATAGGCGGATATTATACCCCCGCAGTATAGAAACACTGCAAAGTGCTAGTTAAGTTCTCAGAGCTGACTGAATAATACCATAAATACAAGGGTACTGAAATGACAACAATAAAGAGAGCTGTACTTTGAGCAATAAATATGAACTGTAGCTGTGCTTTGAATTTTATGTGTGCTCTAGCTAATAGGTATTCAGCTTGTGTGGGCCACTGACATTTAAATAAACACATGTGCAGTCCAAGGGGGTTGGCTGTGGAGCCTCTTGTCAATTGAATCCAGCCCTGGGAGTACAAATAGAGCAGTTCAGGACTGCAGAAATTCCATGCTGGGCCAGCCCTTAGTGGTATCGCTCCTGAAACCATAAGAAATCATCCATGGGGGAAACAGTCACAATGGGAATGAGGGGAGTGGTGGAAAACCCCAAAAACATTTGGCTTCAAAGAGATGCTGTAAATATTGCTAAAAAAAAAATGCCTGCCCTTTGCAGACTCGGGGAACACTCAGCTTCTCTGGAACTGAGCTGGTCAGCCTAAGCAGTGTGCCTACCCTGCAGCAGCACAAACGAATCACCTTCTCATCAAAACCCTTGCTTTTTTTCTTTGCATAGCAAGACTACATGACTCTGATGCCAACCCACTCCTGACATAAAAGGGACACCTGGGTTATGGGACGCAGAGGGACCTGGACACAACCACCTCCTGCAGTGCATGCGTTTCTCTCTGCATGCAAAGACA